GTGTGTGTGTGTGTGTGTGTGTGTGTGTGTGTGTGTGTGTGTGTGTATGTCTGGTATATTGCAGGCTTATCCCGTTCATACTGTTTAAAGTGAGAACACGGAGTGAGAAAATTGATGAGAAGAGCTGGTTTACTACTTTACAGCAATACTTAGTGAGCCAGGGAGCTGTCAGCCCTTCCGTCTAAGGGAAAAGTCTTGCTGGACCTCCATGTGGAAGCAGCAGCAAGGATCCCTTGGAATTATTTGAGAGGCAGCCGGATGAATTCCCATAAGCAAAAGAACCACTTTCACTGCTTTGCCACAATGTCTAAAATGCCCGCAAAGGAGAATTTTTTCTTCTTTATGAATATACAAATTTGGGAATGGTTATGACATAATTGAGAGTATAGCTTATCTCCAACTCTGTGAGGCCAGGGAGATGAGAAAATATACTTTAAAAAATAAAGGTGTTTACACATGGACACGGAGGGGGGAGCAGTACACACTCGGGCCTGTTGAGGGGAAATGGGGGAGGAACAGTGTGGGGTGGGGAGTTGGGGAGAGAGAGCATGGGGAGAAATGCCAGATATAGGTGAAGGGGAGGAAGGCAGCAAATCCCACTGCTATGTGTGTACCTATGCAACTATCTTGCATGTTCTTCAAATGTACCCCAAAACCAAAAATGCAATAAAAAAAAGTAAAAAAAATAAATAAAATAAAGGTGTTTGTGTGTAGGAGGGAAAAAGAAGAATCCAGGGACCTAGGAACAATCTGAGCAGGGCAGTGAGAACCTAGTGGGGCACCAGGGGCCAAGAGGGCCAGTGACTGGCAAAGGCAATGGTGAAATGACTTCGTTGAGTAGGGAGGTAGTCATGTAACTTGGTTCTGCACTTGGCTCTGCCATTAACCAAATGGGGGAAATCTGACTGGTGGCTTACATATTTCCAGTTAGTCTCCCCATTTGTAAAATAAGGAGACTGAATGAGATCAGTCATATTTTAAACTAAATTCTTGAGAGCTCTACGGTTTCTGAGGAGATGTCTTGATTGAGGAAAGGAGCTGATTGTGTGAGGGAAACAACACACGGTGGAGGCCCAGTTAATGCCTCTCCCAAATATTTATCTGATCCATGACCTCTTTCATATTTTCAATTTTCATTTCATTTCATTCAAAAATATGTATGTAGCACATAGAAAATTTAATTTGGGAAAAAAAAAAACAACTCTGCTGCTAAAAATAGTATGAACGTAACTGGCTTGATGGTTTCTAAGATTCTTTCGACCTTTCTAGCATTCATATCTTATGTTCCTGGTCTAAGAGATACTGTTGCATTCATTCTTCACCACGGAAATCTTAAAGTATGACCACTTATTTGGATAATTAGGGAAATGTCATAGACATTGCTCTTCTGTAAAGCATACTAAAAATAATAAAAAAAAAGAAACACCCAAAAAAGCTTTTCTCCATTCCAGGGAATACCATTTACTGATTTATTATCAGTGGCCATAGTGAACATTTTCCTAAATTTTCTGCTTTTGTTCTTTTTTCTGTTTTTGCAAAGAGGGGGCATCAAAAGTAAGAACTGTCTGTGTCAAAACAGACACATACATACAACAATGCTTTATAATTTTCAAGTAACAATATTTCTATCAGTAAGTAAAGATATTTAATTCACTTGCAAGATAACTAGAAGTCCTAAGATAATCATGTATAATTTTGGAAATTTGATTCTCATTAGTCAACTATAAAAAAGTAACCAAGCCAATGTCTATGTACACAAAAAATACACATGTCAGAATCAAGATGCCATGTTTGAAATATAACTCATTCATTAGTAGCTCAGTTTACATTCATTATCCTGAAAGAGTTAATTCAACAATGAGGTTGTTGAAATCAGGTACTTGGACATTGAAAAAAAATGGGCTCAGTAAATATTAGACAATGTAAGTTTATTTGTTTTGTAATTATTTATTGATGTCTATCCTGCTTTTTTTTATAACTCCAAATCTTTTACATCCCTCCTGCCAAGCCACTTCATGAAGGTAGGGAAGAGACTCTCAGCAATGGAGGCTCTGGGGTTCCATAAGCAACCTAAAGGAAATGAAAATGTAAAAGCAGGTCAAAGTGTGCCTTGTATGTGCTCTGCTGGTGCCTTAAGCACTGGGAGAATTGGGCAAATTATGTAATTATTTGGTCAGACTTTACTCAGTTAAGTAACATTTGTTGATAGATTATTATTAGTAACTGCAAACAACTTGAAGATGGAGGGCTACTTTCTTTTCATATCTGACTTTTTCTGATCTACTGGAGTAACCCACATGAGAGTGAAAACCCCTGTTTTGTTTGGGTACCTTTTATTTCAGGGCAGAGGAATTAATTTCTAAGAAATTCCTTTTATTTGGATTTGTAAATTCCTATTTCGCAAACCAATAGTTTTCATTTTTCTTTGAAATATCAAACATGTTGCTCACTGAACCTTGCTTCAAACTATCAGAAAATACTTTGTTAGAATGTAGGGAGAATTAAAAAGCCATTAATTTTAGATGAATGAAGGTTATACAAGATAGATTTGTGATAGGGAGTCTTTATAAAATATTTAAAAATGCAGAAAGATGTTTTTATCAAGTAAGTTTTATACTGTTCATATTTCTTCGCTTTCTTAAAGGATTTTTGGGCAGGCTTTAAATTGCCGAGGTTTTTTTTTTTTTTTTTTTTTTTTTTTTTTCATTTATACTTAAAAGATGCTGCTTTCTTTGAGTGAATTCATTGCAAATAGTCACAGGCATTGCTTTCCAAGGAAGAATCTGCAATAGTAAAACTAGATTTGACAGAATGTATTTTGTAGCTTGCTTTGTGGGAAAATTTATGAAGATTTTTACAGATATTAAAAAAGTAAAAGAATAAGAAAACATATTTAAGAATTGCCCACGTTTCCAAGTAATATAGTTACACTAAAGCTTTTCATCCTAAGAATTTGACTCTAATATTCTCTTTCATAGCTTTACTTCTCAAGCAGTTCATTTTTGGGCTGTAACTATAAAGTATTCGTAAATAAATATCTATGTCTAAAGTTACTATATAGACACTACATTTTTGAAGCCGACCTGTAAAGGGAGAAGCAAAATCTAAGCCTTTGCAATTTACAAAACAAAGCCCACTAAATGCACTCACTTCTCAAGATGGCCAAACCCACCGAAGTAACTTACTAAGGTATCCGGCGTTGACAGCCTCGTGGTGTTCAGTCCCACCAAGGTTGGGAGAGTTTGGGACATCCAGTTTGAGATCATTGCCATGGTACTAAGCACAGCGCCAAGCTTCAGCAGTGGAGGACTCATTGCTGTGGAGCTAATGAGTTTTCATAGTGACTGATTAGGATCCCGGTGCCGGGCTGGCAGCGGGAGGCGTGACTGCAGCGCACCACATCCACAGCATGAAAAGAGATCAACTTCCCCAGCTCTAATCACCCGGGAAAGCTTACGGAATCTCCTTCCCCTACCCTCGTGGGAAGTGCCCTGCCCTTCTTTCTCCTCCCTTACCAGACGTTTTGCTGGATCATCAAACAAAATATTCTTGATAGTCTTAGTTGGTAATTATCAGAGAGCAGAAGTTGGAGGGAGGCAGAAACTTGAGCTTTCCCAGCTCCACTTTAGTTACCATCTACAGAATCCATTTCCTCTGGGGTTTGTGTAAGTATAATCAGCTACTCTTTATCTTTCATTAAAAAAAAAAATACACCTTTAAATGGAGGTCTGCCAAAGTGCACATTTCAAACACCAAACTTAATATCTACAGATTTCCCTGGGCAAGGACAGAGTGCTTTTAAGAAGAACATGAAAATAAAGTCAGCAAATATTTCCAAGATGATCATATTGAGAGTAGGAGATAACTTTTTTTTTAAGAAAGTAACATAAAATTACCATAATTTCTTTAAAAATATAGTCAAAGATTAATAGCTACTGCCTGTGGCAAACATTACCTTCAGGCATCTTACACCTGAACAGACAGAAAAGGCAGCCTTGCAGAAAAACATCTCTTACAGAAATTTTATATGTGTTTCCAGTTTTGCTTTTGAGACTGAAGGCTTTGCTTCGTAGGTGTTCAGTCACACAGGAAACTCAGTGAACTCTATTTTCAGTTCGTGAGGAATGACACACTGATACGGAAAGTCTCTAACTTGAGAGAACATGGGATTTAGCATAAAAGGCGCAGGACTTGGAGTCAGGAAGTCTGAGGATCTAGTCTTTGTTCTCCTCTAATTAAGCTATGTGACTGGCCAGTGACAAGATTTCTTGGCTTCAGTTTTTTCTACAATATATGGATGTTGGAATACATGCTCTCCAAAGCCCCTTCCAGCTCTCAAATTCAATGATCTGTTTATTAGATTCCATTGGCAAATGGGGTATATGGAATTCAGGGTTTATGGGTAACTTTATTATATTCTTTTCATAAATACTGTAAATTGCTCACATCCAAATCTCAGGTTCCAGATGAAAGAAATCAGAGGTCTTTGTCTTGCCCAGTATATGTGCTTTATAATAAAAATATAAAAAAAGACACACAAAAAATGGTTGAATGAAAACTAAATGAAAAGGAATTGCTAAAAAAAGGAAAAATATTGTTTTGATTTCTTAGGAGAATTCTGGATTTGTTTGTATTTGGAATCTTCAGTCAAAGATATATATTCTTCTTAAACAGTTTTGGCAGGAGAAATAAAGAACATGTCCTTAATAAAATTGAAAGAGATACATATTTATAGTGTGGTTATACTTTATCCTCAAAAACAGCTTTAAACTCAGGTGAATGCTAACAGGCTCCTCAAAACTTCCTTGCAACTATTAGCTTAGATTCCAGGCCAGTTCATTTTCTCAAATTATATCCAAATGATTTCAACTGACTCCTATTTTTTAACCACAGTGCCCAGAAAACCAAATATTATTACTTTTCTATTTCAAAAATCATGCCATATAAGAAACCAATAAAGACACAATAGTTTATGTATTAAACTTAGCAGAAAGCCTTGTGAAATTTTACATTAGTATTATAATGTGGTAATGACAAAAAGCAAAGTGGATTTACAAATCTAATGTTTGAAAAATACACCTGGAACTCTACCTGACTTTAACAAAGGTGGGGGGTGTCTTTTCAAGGGCTTACTTTCCAAAATTGAAAGATAATATACATGTAATTACTAGGTAATTTAAGAAATGAGGTGGCAAATGGTAATTATACTTATTAATGAACTATCAGTCCACAAAATAATAGCGTTTTTGGAAGAACATAAGATTGAATGTCAGGGGAAAACAGTGCTCTTATTTGCAAATTATAAAGAAAGGAAGAAATGGAGAAAAACAATACAAATGGAATGCCTCTTGCAATTTTCCAGAGATGCAAATTACTACACTAAAGAATTGAAGTAGAACAATGAGAAAAGTTTATGATTCGGTGATGTTTATGAACAACATAAGAGCTAAATTGTGTTGTTTTTAGAACAGGTTTAAATGACACACATTGAAGTAGAAAAGCTCAAATTACAATAATTATTAGTTGTGGGAAATAAAAATAACTGCAATTTGCAAAAGGCTAAATAGTTTGGATTATTCTCATCGTCTATTCATTTTAAAAGTTGAGTCCTAGTTTGCAAATGGAAGAAGGGATTAGTCTGTTTGGAAGTAGTGGACTGTGTTCAGAGCAAGCAACCAGATAGTTGCAGAACTTCCACAAGTGTGGAAGTGTGTGAGTGGGAACATTACCACTGTCAATGAGATGAGGCTGGAAATGCTGGCTGTGAACAGCTCCAAGGGCTTTAGGGTCACCCAAAAGTGTTTGGACATTATCTTGTATGTAATTCAAGAGTTTAAAGCAAAGCAGTAAGATCATTCATTTTACGTCGTGAATCATTGCTTTGTCATTTTCATGATGCAGGATAGACAGGCGGGGGCTGCAGAGAGTGCAATGCCTATCAGAGACAGGAAGGTCACTTAGAGGTATATTCTCACATTTTGGGCAAGAGATGATGAGGTCCTGAAATAATAAACTGTCAGTGAGGTTGAAAAGGATGAATTCCATAGAGGTTTGCATGAGAATTGGCAGTCCTCAGTGATTGAATAAACGTAAGGCAGTGGAAATCACCTGGGAGAATTTTTAATTTTGGGGTTTGGATGACGAGTGCCAATCATCAGGAGAAGATATACAGGTAGAGGCATAACTTTATGAAGAAGACAGAATTCATTGTCACCTGATATGAGTTAGCTGTAGTACAGAGGGTCACTGGATGATAATGTGCCTCACACCTGGAGTTCAGAAAAGAATTAATTTCCACAGGCCACAAAACCTTAATGGCCTAGTGAAAATAATGTGTCCTACATATATGAAAAAAAAAACGGTTAACTTAAAAATACAGTTTTAAAAATACCACGATTTCCATTTATTCAATTCATGGCAATCTATACATTTGATTCCTTATACAATCATTCTTAAAAATAACAAATCAAAATCTCTCTATCACTAGTAAATAGTGAAATATTACTAAATCTAATAATCTCACAAAAATGTGACGACTACACACTTATTTTCTTTGTAGAATTTCATAGTGGATCAATAACTATATAACCTACAATTGTGCATTATTGTTCATGGAATGCTGAAAGCTATTGATATATTCATTAGATTTTTTATAGTAGCCTGTCCTTTTTATCACCCAGAGAATATATTTCATGATAGACTTAAATAGTAAATAATAAGCAAGTAAATATTGAGTGAGAATGACTCATAGGTAATTTTATATAATTGGCATGTTCTGTCATTTAAATTTAATTTGTTATTTTATTTGTAGAACAAAAGTTAAATGTTGCTTTAATGACCCTGCACAGACATATAATAATATATATTTCCTAATTTGGGACTGTAGGTGTGGTAGATTTGGGAAGGTTTCTAGAAAACACAACCTAGGTAGCTATGAAAAATCAAACACATGAAAAAAACCTGATGACCACAGAAACTATGGTAGAAAATGAACAGTTAATGAAGTAATTGCTACCTAAAGGTTTGGCTTTAGGAAAAATGCGAAGAGATTTAGATTGCTTGCTAAACAGCAGAAGCTTTAAGAAAAAATAGTGTACTTGTACTTTATTTTTATTATTTAAAACAAAATTTAAATTTATGAATGGCTTCAGGCAGAAGGGAAAGTAGCTTATTAGATATAGTTGTAAAGGTAAAAATATGGGGCTGAAGAAATTATTGAAGGAGAGGGAGGAAGAGGGAAGAAAACAAAGATGAGAAGGAGGTTGGCAACAGGGTACAACATCCAAAAATGAACTGTATTGATTGATTAAATCAGAGTGACCTCTAGAAAAAACAGTGGGCTCTTGTTAGCAAGGTAAGTAGGAAAAATAAGAAGAGTAGCATAAAATAGAAGAGGTCGAAGACAGAGTATTTGTGTTGAAATCACTTGGGGAATGCTGGATACCCTGGATGGGGGTGTGGTGTGAGAACGGCCAGGTACATACACAGCTCTCCACCTGCGATGGCACCTTAAAAGCAGTTTAGTGGATAGTCCTCAAGATTCTTCCACTTAACTAGAAAGATACCATTGACTAAGTCAGTCTCTCAGTCTCCATTTTATCATCTGTAAAATGAAGATAGAAGTACCAATGTGAAAAGGTTATTTGAGAAACTGAATGAGATGATATATTTTGAAAGTGTCTATAGTATGTCAAATGTAGAATGAATGGCAACCATATTTTTGATAAGAAATACCATGATTTGAGAACCAAAAGGAGTAGACCAGCTGAGGGAACCATCAGGCCTAGGGAAGGTGGAAAGTTTTGCAGCTTTGCAAAGGGGTAGCTCAGTGGAGCTTGGAGAGTAGTAATACAACTTTGCTGCATGACAGCATTAGCCTGCGGCTCTGTGGCTAATAGTCCAAGGCAAAGTGGAGGAAAGGGACTGATTGACATTTTTGTTTCCTTCTTCATTGAAATATCGAGGTAATTACTAGAAAACTTTCATAAGGTCCCACTACCATATTTGCTTACTTCCTCACCTGTGCCCAAATACTGTTCCTTCTTTCTGGTTGCGATGGATGAATTGACTGTGTTCCTAGGTAAGGCAGATCTCTCCTTTGTGCAATAAATCAGTTATTTTGGACAATCATACACAAGAATTACCTGTAAGCCTGTTAAGATCCAAATTCCTAAGCCTCACCTGAGTCTGGTTTAGTTTTAGGGCAGGACAAAATAATTTGCATTTCTAACAAGCTCCCAGATGATGCTGTTGCTGCAATTCTTAGCCCACCCTTTGCAGAGACTACCCTAGGTTATATCTCTCTTACCTACTCAAAATGAACTCTTACTTCCTCTTTTTCTAACATCAATAAATTTTCCATCTTTAGCAGATCATTCCCAGCATCATATAATACCAGTGTACGTTTCCTACTTTGAATGTAAACAAATAAACTTTCTTGATCATATTTTATCTACAGGTCTACCATTTCTCACTCTCCCTTTACAGCATATCCTCTTGAAAGAATTAATACTCACCATCTTCAATTTCTGTCTTCCAAATTGCATTTTTGTTTATGCTTCTCCACTCGACTGACACTGCTTTCATCAGGCTACCAGTGACCCCCAGATTGCTAATCTAGCAGTCCATTCTCAGTCCCCAGCTTTCTTAACCTATGAGCAGCATTCATGAGAATTTTACTTCCTCCTTTTTGAAATAATTTTTTCACTTGGCTTCAAGGATGCCACACTCACTAGTCTTCCTCCAATTTTATGACCTCCCTTTCTTAGTGTCATTTGCTGATTCTTCCTCATCTATATGCTAATGATTCCCAAATTCATTTTTTCCCATCAGACCTCTTCTATCAATTCAGACCTGCATATCCAATTATCTACTTGACATCTCCACTTCAATGTTTAATAGACATCTTAAATTGAGTGCTTTGAAAAAATGAGCTCCTGTTATGACTCCCCCACCCCCCCAAAAGAAAAGAAAACAAAAATTTACCGAACAG